AATTAATCTATACAACTGAGTCCATGCCACACAAGCATTTAAAAAACTCACAAACTCGTGAATTGGATAAATAGCTTCAAATAAGTCTTCTCCTTTTCCTGTTCAAGGAATTAAAAAGGAGGTGGGGGGTGGAAGTGGGTAATACATTCATGCAGGAAAGCATTTGTATTGTTTTTGTTTCTGCAGGAGACAAAAGGGGGGAATATGTCAATCAGCCATTCATTCTTCCAAAAATCACTGTGATTAACGATGCATTCATTTTTCTGTTTCTTCAAAGTGATCAGGAATTCAAACAGCTTCTCAGCCAGCATTGTTTATTCTTATTTGTCTCTGTTATATATTATTATTATTATTATTATTATTATTATTATTATTATTTATATTAACATTTTTGCAGTGACTTTTTCAGCTAAAGTGATGTTTCCAGGCTATGGATTGGGCTTCCTGGGCTAGAAGAGGTAGCTGATTTGCTCGTATCAGTTGTAAGGTTGATCCCACTGTCAATAGCACTATTGTTCTTGTTCAGGGAAGATGGGGGACTCGGGTTTTGCTTGAGGGCAGGGTCTTCTTCTAGTTCTGTGTCATCAATGAGAGGAATATGGGGCTGGGAATCTTCTATCCTAAAGTCAGGATGAGTCATAAAGTTGTGAATGGAGGTTCTAGATTCCGGTTTTTCCAAACCTTCATAGAGAGAGCTACGGAATGCCTTCACGACGCGGATCTGGGAGAAGGAAAAAGATGACAGATGTCAGTGGTAACTGCTTTTTGAAACCACCACACAGTGATGTCAATTCTTGGGGAAGGGATGTTGGGTGAAAAAATGTGATGTATGGTTAGGGCACACAGGCAGCTGTAGTTCACAGTCTCTGGATTCTAAAGGCACAAACAAGAGGCCCAGCTTTGTATATTGTGAGCATCTGTATGAACTGCAATGTTAAGACCATATGAGTTTAAAGCCATCAGACCTGTTCCCAGAACTGATGGGAAGCGCTGGTTAAAGAAAGCGAAATCCACTCATGTGGTACATTCCTAGTAAAAGACAAGCCACGTTAATTCCAAAGCAAATGTAGTACCATGCATCTTTATCATTTTGCAGTGAGTAAGTAGGAAAGCCTTGGTTTTTTTTTTAATACAGTATTCCTTTGTATAGAAAAGTATAAGACAAAACAAATTGCATATCTCAAACAAGAAAGCACAAAACACAGACACAATTGGATGGAGAAGTATGAGAGACAAACACAGGAGCCAAATGTAAGAACCCCCCAAAATAATGACCATCTTTCTTTTTTTTAAAACAAAAAAAGCAAGATCTAAATGAAGCAGCCAGAAGCACAGCAACAAGAAAGAAAGAAGGCAAGCAGACAAAATATTGGAGCAAAAACATGCTAGGAAAAAGTTGGTTATCACGTAAACACAGCTAACTGGCACACAACAACTACACTTGAAAGCCTGGATAATGTGAACATGAAACTGTTGATCAACTTTGGTTTATCTTTCATGCATATGTGAGGTAAACACTCGAGTATAAACCCAATGTTCTAGCCATTTTTTTTTTTAAAAAACCTATTAATAAGTAATTTATTGTATTATGGTCATCAAGTTTCATATACTGGAATTATAAAACACCAGATTACTTCATCTATAATTCATGTAACCCATGTGAATATGACTCATAAAGGCAAGCTGGTAAAGGTACATTTTTATGTCAGTTCTGCAGTTCTTGAACTATGACCATTTAATTGTGTCAGTGTATTTTCCTGCTTTTCTCTTACTAAGCCATAAGAAGATGAGGACAGCGAGCAGCAGGCTTTAAGAAATGCAACAGTACGACAGCACAGCAGACCCATTTACTACATCTGCAGACATCTGAGGTGGGAGCTGATCCATCTGTTGCTGGGCAGGAAAATTCTCCTTGGAAGAAGAGAGCGTTTTAGATGCTTCCTTCTACTCAGGGCTACCAAGGAGAAAAGTGGCATTTCTTGAAGGGAAAAAAATCATCAAGGAAATAACAGAATGGTAAAATATGTGCACTGTTGAGGAATGTATCATGATTATAAATGAATGCTGTGACTGCTGGGCATTTTGCCTGGCCCTCAATTATAGGGTGAATGAGACAACCCTGGACATGCCCTAGGCAGGATCACTGCAGCCACTCTGCAGGTTTTAAGGCTGGTGAGGGGAACCCAACTGAAAGCTGCCATCCTAGAGATCACGAATCCAGTCCTGCCTCTTCCAGTGGCATCATTGTGTTGGGAAACCCTCTTGTGATTAGAGTTCCTGATTCCTCACTTCAGATGTTGCAAACCCCTGCCTTAAAATGAAGTCCTAAGTAGACGATTAGGAAGAGCTCCTCTCAGAAAAACTGAGATCACATTAACAGCCAGTGATTTTTTTGGACTGAACTACTGTTATTATGGCTAAGCTAAAATGCTTAGGGGGGAGGAAAGCAAACTTCTTTCCATCCCACACAGAAGTTTCTAATTCGCTCAAAGTTCTTTTCGGGAATCTTGGGGTCTTCAGGACAACTCTTCAAAGTTGGTTGCTGCAGACACACAATATGCCAAGCACACTTCCGTTTTCTTGTTGTCCTTTCAATCTTGCATGTAAGTGCCAACTGGTTAAAATGTTTTTTTCCCTTGGCCAACTACATCTGCAGTTGAGAGCGAAGGTAGTACTTCACTTAATTTATGTATTGGGATGCTCCTCTGGGAAACATCTCATGGTCCCCTGCATCTTTCTTTGAAATCCTTCCTTATTCACGCTGTTAGGGTAAGAGACACGAAGTGCACATTTAACGGCTTCTTACTCTGGCCACTGAACTCTGAAATAGAGTGATAGAAAACTCATCCTGAGAGGAAAGAAAAACATGCTGAGAAAGGAAATATGCCTGGCCAGCTACACTTTTTTATCCCAATGTTACATTTCTACAGATTTCTACTTAACATATTGGAAGAATTATAATTAATTCTATTTAAATTCTAATTTTTTAATCCTGGGTCTTTTGCACAAATAATTTCAAAAGAAATTCATTTACTTGTAACTCATCTAGAGACAAACTCTGTTTCAAGAAATGTGGTCCTGAATCTTAGGACAATTATAAACATTCAGGATTCTCTCTCTCTCTCTCTCTCTCTCTCTGCCAACCAAGTTCAAATCTAACCAGTCTAGTGGACCACATCACTAGCCTGTAAAATGACAGAGTTTGTACTTGATCATATAAATTTTCATTACATACAACTCCAGAAATATTATTCCTCCATTATTATTACAGTTCATTTAACTAGAACAGGAGAAAGCCTTTTTGCAGATAGGGGCTCCATGTTTTTCCCATTTTTTCCCCTCAGAATTCAAGTTATAGAAGGTATAGCAATGAAATAATGACATTGGAAAATATGGGATGGGAGTTAAAAGCTGGAGATATGGGGGATTTAGTTTACCTTATTTTTAACACAATTACTTTTCAGTTTATAAAGAGAGAAAGTGAGACTTTATTCATCACTCTTCCACCATTGCTGTATCAGTGATGTGACCTCGGGAGTCTCTAGAGGCTACCATGGATATAGGTTACATTTGGCCCATGAGAGCCCATCAGTGTTTCTTCTTTTTGAAGAAAACATTTTGGATTATTCCTCTTCAAGATGCAGAGTCAAGAATAAAGTTTGCTTGGGGGAAGTCAAGCAAGGGCAATCCATATGTAGATGTAGGGATTATTGGGGAGATCTCCCCTTTACACATGGCCAGAAATGCAGTATAGTAAAAGACCCTGCATGAAGTATCAAGGAGTTTGCAGGCAACATTTCTACATCATCTATAACTTGCAGAACAGGCTTTTTTGTGGGCTTTTAAACTGTATGCAATTGAATCCAGGTATTTTTGACTCCTCTTCTAGAAATAATGTGCCAGGGCAAAATTAGTTTGACTTTCGGCATAGAAGATACTAACAGGCATCAGCTTGCAACTAGCCTATTTTAGAATAATGTGCATGTATTGCTGCCATGTTTCCAAACTATATGTGAATCTATAGGAATGAAGTACAATTTAGCAACTGTGCGTATAGGGTGTCTGGGAAATGCATAGAATTCAAATGTATAATCCCCAGAGATCTTTATATTTGCTAGTCTTTAAATTAGGATCTACAGAATCATACTTAACTTTTATACAACAGAATAACTAAATCCCTGTTCAGAGATTTTGTGAAGGTAAATGCAGGAGGTTAGGTTATTACATTATGAATAGGATTTAATGGCATCTTTAAAACTTTGTAGGCTTGCTCTCTATGCACATATATTGTATGGAAACACACCAGAAAAATATGTATCATCTACATGGCAGTTATGTAATGGAGACAGTCAATGAAAAGGAAATGATAAACAGTGAGGCACATGGCTCCATTTTCTTACAGGAATGGAGACAACAGAAAAATGTTTTTAACAGAGGACTGGGGTAAGGGTGGGGACCACACTTCAGGACATTCTGACATGGCTTTTCAGTTTCCACCTCCTTCTTCTCTGTTGCTGCAATGAAAAGTGTTTCAGTTTTGCTGAAAGCAAGACTTCAATAGTTCTATTCGACAAAGAGAGGATAAACACTTAGGCAGTTTTAGATACTGAGGATTTTTACCTCCATCTGAAGAAAAATAAACATTCTGGCAAAGTATAGAATCTCCCTCCTCATGATTCAATGCAGATCACCCATTTTCAGTTGTACTACCGTGGTAGGAGATGGGCTTATACTCGAATGTTTACCTGGCTTTATCTAAGCCAAGTACCAGAACTGGGTTCACATTCATTATCAGGCTCAAGGTTAAAGACTCACAACCTCTTTTTATTGCACTCTCTCCTGCTGAACCCTTTTGTCCAGGGGTCTCTAGCCCTCTAGGAAAACAAACACATTGCATATTCAGAAAGCAGACTGTAGGGCACTGAAAAAGAAAGTATTTCATTTCTACTGAAAGGCCTATACCAAGTAGAGCTGATCAGGTAAATGTAAAGTCAGTTTTGCAGAGAGATGCTAACTCAAAGGGAGAAGTTGCTATTCTTAGTTGAAGTTGCAATTATGTAAAGGCAAGACTGAGGCTGGATTCATTAACTATGATTTCCCCTTCTTCTGGAATATGTTCAGCATATTAAAAATACTGAGGACCATTTCAATCTTGCTAGCAGCCTGAACACTTTGGGCATATCCTGATAGAGAACTATTACTTATGTCAACCAGCACCAGCACACGGATGTGTTCCAGATAGTTACTGGAAGTTTTGTCACATGATAGAGCCAGCCCAAGATATTTTAGTGCCTGACAAGCTGGCATTGCTATCCTTTCCACATGCAGAAACAACGTGGACTGGCTACAGAACTTTCATTACCAGCAAAAGATAAAACCTTTTAAGGTACAAATTACTTCAGAGGGGACAGAATGGGCTGTTTGACACTTGCACTAGTCCTTCAAGAGAAAGGAATGCAGGTTGACATACATAGTTCTGTCATTCAGGGGAATGCAGCAGGCCTGACACTGCTACGTGCCCCGTCTGCCAAGAAAAGTAGTCACCAACTCAGCTGCATGGCCGGGCAGGTCCTGGATTGGGGTGGCAGTTTCTCAAGCCAATCCACCAAAGCATATCAGCAGTCTCCATGAGAAGGAGGTGCTTGTTCAAGAAAATGACATTTGCTTAGGAAACAATCTTCCGTATTTTAAATGTTCTGATCATGTTTTACAAGAACAGAA